GGCGGCGGGTCAGTCGCGCCCCGGCTGCTCCCGGCTCTCGGCGCCTCCCGGCCGGGACTGCGGGGCTGTCCGGGTCGCGGGGACGCTTGGCGCCGGGCGGGCGGGCCGGCGGGCCGGCGGGCGGGCGGGCGCGGCCGTGGGGCCGTGGGGTGGGGTCTCTGCGCCTCCTCCCCAAAGTCCTCGGCGCTGGGCGGTCTCCTCCGCACGGACCCTGCGGGAAGAGTGGTGGATCGGCGTTGGGTGTGTTGCCGGGTGAAAGGAGTTGTGGCCGCCGAGACCGCCCTGCTAAACACGCCTGATGGCAATCTCCGTGCCGGCTTTGAGGGCTGGAGGAAAAGTAGTGTAACTCCCCGCCCCTAGCTCGGAACGCAGGAGGCTGCAGGGCAAAACGATTTTCCCCCAGCCCCTCGGTATGCATTGTTTTGTACCATCCCCTCCCCCATGCCTAGGTAGAAGAATAAGGACTCCAAAGCCTTAATTCGCCCGCCTCTCCCCCTCTCCTCTCTCAACCCCTGTCCCTCTCAGCAGAGGTTTCTGTTAACTGCAAGTAGGGGTTTACAAACAGGTGGAATGCTTATTTGGGAATCGGAAAGAAGATGCTTTTGGGGTGTGTTTTTTCATCTCATCTCACCTTTACACTTGGGAGATTGGATTTCCTTCCACTGGTTTGTATCATTATGAGAGTGATGAGAAGAAAAGAGGAAACCCTGTTTTGCGACCTATCCCCTCAGATATTTTCGAGGACTCCGGGGAAGTTAAAATCAGCTTGCAAATGTGGACTCTGTGGCACGTTGGTCTCCAGCAGGATGATTAGTCTGGGAGCTTACACCTGTGTAATCTTGTACACTCTTTGTGAATGCCAGAAGTTCAAGCATCTACCCGGAAGGATTGCCGAATCAAAAACTTAGCTGTTACTCAGAATCGAAGGGTAGACTTGTGCAAGCAAGTGTTTTTGTGTTTAAGTCATCAGCACTGGCAAAGATGTTTTATGTTAAAGACCTACATTTGTTAGTACACTCATTGGTACTCAGTCGTCCCTTTTTGGCATGGCCTTTGTAACTGTTCTTTGCTGTGTGTTTGAAGAAACTTAGAGGTTTAGCTATTCACAATTTGTAATATTCAGTAAGTCTACAAATTAAATTACAACTATATTTCAACTCTTCAAATGTTTTTAGTTTTCATAGGAGAGTTAAAGATAAACTACCCAAATACTTAAATCATTCACCACAGTGGAGCTTAGGCTGAATACTTAAGTCTTTCAAGCTTATTAAGACACAAAGTATTTTTATTTTAGTTTGAGTATGCGTTTGCTAGTAAAAGAGACACAAATAAAGGGTTTTGTTTAAGGTTTGTACCTTTCAAAGGATTAAATGTAACATAAAGGTAACATGAAATCACACTGTTGAAATCTCAATTTGGAGTTAGTCTTGACCTCTCTCAGCTAAGTACAGTCCCCCCAGATGCTTGTTTAGTTTCTGAAGAAACTGTATTTGTCACAGTTGGCATTTCATTTATGATAGTCTCAGTGTTTTTCTTTCATTATTCAGAAGTTACTATGAATTGAAAAAATGATATAAAAAGATACATTAGTATTTTGAACCTGGATTACATTTTAGTTTGTTTTTGTAAGGTATCATAATAAGAAATTAGATCAGAACTGTTTTTGGTAATTGTAGCAAATATAGATCATATGTCAGCATGTGAACTTCAAGCCAGTCATAAATTTGAAACATTTTGTATTTAAATAGGAATAGGACAATTATTATTTTTGATGTGCTTGTAGAAATTTATTTAATATATTATCACATTGGGCTGAGGATGTAGCTCAGTGGTAGAGTGTTTACATAACATGTACAATGCCCTGAGTTTGATTTTTTTTCCTAGCCCTGCAATAAATACATAAATAAATAAATAAATAAATAAATAAATAAATAAATAAATGGCTGTTCCTTATGTGACTCAGGACAGTGGCTTTTCCTCTTCCAGATAGTAACTAATTATATTCTCTATGAAATAATCTCAAGATGGCTTCTGACTTGTTGCTGCGATGTGGACTTGTTTATTTTTATGTGTATGAGTTTTGCTTGCATGTGTATATGCAGCACAAACACACTTGACAGAGGCCAGAAGATGTCAGATACCCAGGAACTGGAGTTACAGAGGGTTGTGAGTGGCCGCAGCGTTTGCTGGAAATAAAACTCTGGTCCTCCAGAAGACCAGCCAGTGTTCTTAAACTGCTGAACCATCTTTCCAGCCTCAAATATAATTTTTTTGTCTTCTATTGTCAGTATCAGTTGTGGATAAAATTGGGATTTTTGTGCAAGTAATGAAATTTCAGTCATACTTTTTAAAATTTGCTGAATTATCAATATTTTTTGTATATTATGTTTCTGGAAGAGTCTTGTTTTTAAAGGTAATTCACATATAAAAGTGCTCTTGGCATTTTAGACCAGGACAAGAACTAGACCTCTTGTGTGTAGATGTAAGGGTTTGCGTGTTTGAAGATGGAATGGATGAACTCTGAGATCAGTTGCTATGTCCTTCATGTGTCTTTCATGTATGAAGAAGCATAAAACCTTTGCTTTAACCAAGACAGAATTTAAACCAGAAAACAACCAAATAAGTTCCCTCAGTGAGTTCTGAGGTTTGTAGCTTAGACGTGGTGTAAGACTTCTGGAATTTGTTTACAAAACTATCCAAATTAAGGGAGGGGATTTGGATATTAGGAAGTGTCAGTGCTTATTTTTATTAGACTATTAGTGAGTAAATGTTTTCTTGTAAATGGATTGACATTGGCTGAACAATATGTAAAATGATAACTTGAAATGAGTCCTGTAAATAATTGGGTTGGTAGATAATCTTACTTAATGTTAGCCTTACTATCTTCTGTGTATTAGACATTTTGTATTATACAGCTTATAACTTAAGGCTAATGAACAAAGCATGAACATAGCCGTCTGCTAGTTTTACATTTCTCTTAACTGCTAAGCATTCATAAGCATGCTACACTGCATCAAAGTTGTGCCCTGTAGGTCTTTTTACAAGTATTTTCTCTTAATGAACTAAATCCCAATATTCTTACCTACTTGTCTAAACTTGACTTTTAAAATTTGTAGTTTCATAAGTTACAAGTGTGCTTGAACTTGGCATGTTGCATAGTATCTGAAATGTGCTTGTTAATCAGTACAGGCTGGAGAAAACATTTGTTAAGTCTGAAAAAAAAGTGTTCTAAAATAGGTACTGATTTTAAAGTAAAATAGTTTTTATTCAATGTATTCTCCTTGTCCTCAACTTTTGAGCAAGGCATTGTTAGTTCAGTGAAGCAAAGTTGGAACACATAAAAAGAATATTATAATTACAAAGTGGTCTTAAGCTTTTGAGATGATAACGTGTGTTTCTTGAGTAAGTATGTAGTTCTCATTGTCAAGATTGAAAGAGAACTAATTAGATTTCATACTATCTCATTACAACTTAAGGACAGTCAGAAATGATAACAAAGAGAAGTGCATTCTGTAAAAATAAGGGTTCTTCTCTAGGGAGGAATCAGCACACTGCTTGTATCTAAACTATAGCTAAAGGGTGAAATCAGCCCATTTAGTATACCCGAGAGATTTATGAATTGTTTTTGTGACATCTTTATGACACTATGAATTCCTAATGTTTCAATATATTACTTACTCTCCATTGCTATCCAGAAGGTCTGCCATTTTAATTACATAATTTTATAGCTGATAAATTTTTTATTTGGGTCTGGGGAGATGGCACAACTGTATGTAGCCCAAGTTAGCCTCAAATTCTGAAGTAACAGGCTGG